AGTCCACTCATTGGAAAAGACCCTGATGCTGGGAAAGACTGAAGGCAGGAGGAGAAGGGGACGACAGGACAAGATGGTTGGATGGCATCCCCGAGTCAATGGACATGAGTTTGAGCAAACTCCGGGAGACAGTGGAGGACAGGTAAGCCTGGCGTGCTGCAGTCCATGGGGTCGCAGAGTCAGACACGACTGAGCGACTGAACAACAGCAACAATGTGAACACGTTTCCAGTGTGGAGACAGAGGCAGAGACAGAGGCAGAGCCTGGAGTGAGGCAGTCACAAGCCAAGGAGCAGCGGAGCCACCAGCAGCTGGAAGAGGGGAGGAGGGATTGTCCTCCAGAGCCTTCAGAGGGAGCATAGCCCTGCCAGCATCTTGGTTTCAGACTTCCAGCCTCTCGAGCTGTGAGAAAATCCATTTCTGTTGTTCCAAGCCACCGAGTTTGTGGGAATTTGTTAAGCAGCCTTAGGGAAATTAATCCAGTCACTCATCACTGGGGACCACAATTTGCTTAAAACAATGACGCCTGGCCCTTACCCAACAGTTTGTGGAGCTGGGACTTCCAAGGTGCATTGCAGGAAGGAGGACCCCTTCCAGGGCCCCAAAGGGAGCATTTGTCTAACACTCAGAAATGAATTGTCTGAGTAGACACGTGTGCTCACAAAGCAAGAGACTTTATAGGGAAGTGGTGCCCAGGTGGAGAGCAGGAGGGGGAGGGAATACAGGAGCACTGCCCTGCCATGTGGCTTGCAGTCTAGGGTTTCGTGGTGATGGGATTAGTTTCCAGGTTGCCTTAGGCCAATCATTCCGATTCAGGGTCCTTCTGGTGACACACGCATCGCTCAGCTGAGATGGGTGCCAGCGAGAAAGATCCGGGAGGTAGCAGGACACGTGGCATCTCCTTTTGACCTTTCCTGAATTCTTCCATTGATGCTGGCTTGTTAGTTCCATGTTCCTTATCAGGACCTTCTGTTGTGAAATAATTCACCCAAATGGTCACTATGGTCCCTGGCCAAGGTGAGTGGTCTCAGTCGGTGTTTCCCATAACAGGTGCCCATAAGACACTCTCATTAGCTGTTGTTCAGTCGCTAAGTCATGTCTGACTCTTTGTGACCCCATGAACTGCAGCACGCCAGGCTTCTGTCCTTCACTATCTTCCAGAGTTGGCTCAAATTCATGTCCACTAAGTCAGTGATGCCATCCAACCATCTCATCCTCTGTCACCCTCTTCTCCTCTTGCCCTCAGTCTTTCCCAGCATCAGGGTCTGGTTTGATCTGGTTTGATCTCGGTGCTCTCCAAGGGACTCTCAAGAGTCTTCTCCAGCACCACAGTTTGAAAGCATCAGTTCTTTGGTGCTCAGCCTTCTTTATGGTCCAACTCTTACATTCATACGTGACTACTGGAAAAACCATAGCTTTGACTATACATCCCTGCTTTTTTTTTTTTTTTTTTTTCAACAGGATCCGGTTTATTGCCTTGGAAGGGTGGTCCTGAGAGTGGCAGGTGCCACCCTGTCCCGGGCGGAGGGAGGGCCCAAGGGCCATTAAGGCCAGTGGCGGGAAAAGCGGGGGCCACGCAGCCCCTGGAATGCAGTGAGGCCAGGCTGAGGCCCGGAGGCAGCTGTGGTGGGCCGGGGCACTGCCCCTGCTGCCCAGGGTGGAAGGCACCGGGCTGGGACGTGACCCCGGCCACATGGGCACCCCGGGAAGTGGGGCACAGGGTCACAGCACATGAAACGACACGGGCACACAAGCACGTGGACAAGTGGGCACAGATTCACAGGCCAGAGGGACACCCAGTCTCAGCTGGACACACAGACACTGGTGGTGGTGGTGTACAGGCCACAGAGGACGTGTGGACCCGACGGCCAAAGGGGACACCCAGGCCATGGAGTACGCGGGACAGGGAACAGGCCTTTTGGCACGACTGCACTGGAATTGTAAGAAGGGAGCGCCGGGGGCAGCCCGCACACAGACCCCAGGGCTCAGTCCGTCTTCCACACTTTGTTGAGAAGCTTCACCACCTCGTCGTAGATGATGAACACGATGGCCACGTCCAGGCAGACCCTGCCGAGGCGCGGGACAGTGCCCTTGTAGAACGCCTTGAGTCCCTCGTTCCTCAGGATCTGCAGGCCGCAGTCCCACGTGTTTCGGTACTTGTGTGCCTCCAGTCCCTGCATCCTGGTCTTAATCACATCCAGTGGAGTGTTTCCGAAGACACTGGCTGCACCCGCGATGGCTCCGAACACACCAGTGATCAGCGGGTTCATGGGCTTGTTGGGGTTGTCCCCTGGATGGGGGTGAGGGCTGGGGTCAGATGGGGACAGCGCGCGAGGGCAGGGTTCCAGGCCTGGAGGGGGGGGGTCTTGGGGCGCAAACACACCTCGGTACCAGTTGCGCAGGGAGGTCATGACGAAGAAGCGGATGGCCTGGTTGGATCCCTGCTTCAGCACGGTGGCCGTGAGACCTTGGTACGTCCCCTTCAGCCCTGGGGCAAGCAGGCACGGCTGTCACACCGACGGCCTCCCGGACGGACGCAGGAGTGCCAAGGCAGGAAGCGCCGGTGGCGGCTCTGGGCAGCCTGGCCCAGGTCCCTGACCCCACCAGAGGGCAAGGCCGAGTGGCTCACCTTGTTCCCGCACGATCTCCCTGACCCCGTGGAAGAATCCTCGGTATTTGGGACTGGCAGAGGTCTGGTCATGGATGAATTTCACCTGAGGAAGAGGCAGCAAGGCGCTGGCTCCCAGGGGTCAGGGCACGGGTGCCCCTGGCCGCCTTACGGAGAAGCCTCTGCTGTTATGTTTACTAGTTTTTCAAACAACTTAGGCAGCAGACACGTGTTACCTTGTTTTGTGCTCCTAAGTTTTTTAAGGCAGTGTTATCTTCCCACTGCCTCGAGGATACAGTCCAGCCCCCAGGAAGCTCTTCCGGTGGGCTTACGGCGCAGGGCTCCCCAGGCAGACCCCTGCCCACCTCGACGGTCTCCGCGGGGCAAGACCCCTGCCCACCGCGACAATCTCCGCGGGGCACAATGACTCCACCCCGCCGCCCAGTGCTGTCTCACGCCTTGTCTCCTAAGGGGATCTGCCCACCTTGATGGTCTCCATGGGGCACACGACCACTACGGCCTCGGCCACTCCGGCGCCCAGGCCGCACAGCAGCCCGCGCGTGCTGTCCAGTCGTCCCTGGGCGTCCCGCATGTGGTTGCTGAGAAACTCGAACGTCCCGAACCTGGAGCGGGAGGCTGAGGCGTGAGACGGGCCGCCGCGGGGCCAGGGCTCGCTCCCTCCCTCCCGCGGCCCGAGCCGCCTCACCTGACGGCCGCCTTGGGGATGGAGCCGTAGAGCAGGGAGCTGAGGCCGCGGTACAGGCCCAGGACGCCATGACTGCGGACTGTCTGCCGTACGCAGTCCCCTGGGGGAGGGGGCAGTCAGCGACCCCGCCGNCATTGGAAAAGACCCTGATGCTGGGAAAGATTGAGGGCAGGAGGAGAAGGGGATGACAGGATGAGATGGCTGGATGGCATCACCGACTCTATGGACATGAGTTTGAGTAAACTCTGGGAGTTGGTGATGGACAGGGAGGCCTGGCGTGCTGCGATTTATGGGGTCACAAAAGTCAGACACGACTGAGCGACTGATCTGAACTGAAGAGCATTGCTAGCAACTGAAAAGCAAGGGCATTTGCCATTTGCCTCTTCAGAGACTGAACACAGTGCTGTTGACCTTCAACACCCCCTGAGGGAGTTAAGGTGGATTGAGACACTCTATGCTCCAGGGGATCTGGTGGGACAGGTCTTTAGATAGTCAGATATTTTCAGGAATTGAATTTATGCTCCCTATTCTTGCATCTCCTCATATCTAGAAAAGCACTAAATCCCTTCATGGTGACATCAGATCCTTGTGACTAGCAGAAAATCTTTTGTAAAATGAGTACTTAATGGTATTGAATTTCCCCTTCACCAAAACCTTATATATTGACCTTCCCCCCCTGCCTTTTTGGAGCCCTCTCTCGGAGCCGTCTCTCAGAGCTTTCTGAGGTGCTGCCTCCCGGTGCAGTCCTCGTTTTGCCTCAAACAAAACTTAACTCACAACTCTCACTTTGTGCATTTTTTTAGTCGGGAGCAGCTGTTGAACAATAATTCCTATCAAGGCTTCAAAGAACAAAGAGCCTTATTTAGGGTCCTAAGAATTGCAATTCGGGAGACACAGATTCAGGTAAAATCAAAAGAGTATTCTGGGGAAGAGGGCATTGAGGCCTTAGAAAGACAAAAGTCACAAGGTTATTCAGGCTCCAGGTCTGGCAGTTATCTAGAGTTTCTGGAACATTGTGTAGGTGTCCTGGATGCCTGCTTTAAGATAGTAAGTGCTCAAAAGGTCAGATTCCAACCAAAATGAGACGTGCACGAGTCCCACTCCCCTGATGGCCTCCTGGCTTCATTTCAGAGAGCTCTCTTAGCAATGCTCAGTCCATCTTTTTTTAAATATAGTTTTATTTATTTCACTGATTGGCCACCTCATGCGAAGAGTTGACTCATTGGAAAAGACCCTGATGTTGGGAAGGATTAGGGGCAGGAGGAGAAGGGGACGACAGAGGATGAGATGGTTGGATGGCATCACCAACTCAATGGACATGGGTTTGGGTAGACTCCAGGAGTTGGTGATAGACAGGGAGGCCTGGCGTGCTGTGATTCATGGGGTCGCAAAGAGTCTGACACGACTGAGCGACTGAACTGAACTGAACTTATTTACTTTTGTTTTGGCCGTGCAGGGTCTTCACTGCCGTGCAGGCTTTTCTGTAGTTGCAGCGAGCGGGGACTGCTCTCTTGTTGTGGAGCAGGGGCCTCTAGGGCTCCCAGGCTCCCACGCACAGGCTCAATAGCTGTGCTCACCTTCTTAGTTGCTCTGCGTCAAGTAGGTTCTTCCCAGATCAGGGATGGAACCCGTGTGTCTCCTGCATTGGCAGGCAGATGAGCCGCCAGGGAAGCTCCTCCCTCCATCTTGATGTCCCTTTGACAGAGCTGAAGTGGATAAAGCGTAGACATAGACTTATGTTCGCTATTACCACAAATCCAGAGGATGGAGTTAAAAAACAAGAGTCCTGTAGCACAGACGAGTCTAATTCAGTTACTTCCTACCTTTTAGCCTCCTGAGATTTTCTCAGGGGGAGGATTGTAGCTGCTTGATTTTTTTTTATGCTATTCCCATGTTGAAAGGGATCAGCATTTGCTACCACAAATATGCCACTTCACCATAAAATGGATTATGTTGAACAGAAGGCATTAGAGAAAGCCAAAGACCAGGAAGAACTCACTGCCCTCCCCCGTCTGCCTAAAACCAGGGCATAAATTTCCATTTGTAAAGATGGAAATTTCCCTCTCCAGTGCCTAGAACACCTAAGATCAATCTGCATAACAGACGCTACTAAGCAAACCCTTTGTTGTTTTTTTGTTCAGTCCCTGAGTCGCATATGACTCTTTGTGACCCCGTGGACTGCCTTTGCTATATATTTCTTAGCCTGTGTGTGTTAGTCGCTCAGTCGTGTCCAACTCTTTTGTGACCCCACGGGCTGTAGCCCGCCAGGCTCTTCTGTCCTTGGGATTCTCCAGGCAAGAGTACTGGAGTGGGTTGTCATTCCCTTCACCAAGGCATCTTCCCGACCCGAGGATTGAACTCACATCTATTATGTCTCCTGCATTGACAGGCACGTTCTTTACCACTAACACCACCTAGGAAGCCCCTAACATATGTAATTTCTAACCAATCAGTTTAAAGGCCACCACATCCAGTTTGACATCTTTATGGCTTATTTTGATCCCCAGTTTCTAAGTTTCCTCAGACACTGAGTCGCCATCCTGTGACCCTTTCTCATGATCCCAGGCCATTACTTAGGGACCAGATGTAGGGGCTAAGAGTTAATGGTCCACCTGATATTTTTCTTCCTGATAAGTTGGGCAGCAGTTAATAGATGTCCTGTCCTGGTTCTGGATGTTTTATGAGCTGCCAGACCAGGGAGGCATTCTTCAGAATGCCAGGAAATTGAAATAAAGGGTATATAGATTTAGGTTAATGGAGCAAGATGTTTATGGAAAAAAAGACTGAGGTCTCAGTGTTTTATGCTGAGTGCCTAGCAGTTTCTACCTCACGCTGACATCACCTTGCTATCTCACCATTAGCCAGTCAGAGATTTGTGTGCAAGCTAACCACAGACCCTGGGACATCCCACCCCCATCTCCACCCCAACCTGGATTTTAAAAGTGCTTTGCTGAAACTCTTTGAGGAGCTTGGGGCTTTTTAGGTCATGAGCCAAACCCCATCTTCTTGCCTGGCCCTGCAATAAATCTTGCTCTGCTCCGAATTCCAGTGTTTCAGTTTGGCTTTACTATGCATCAGGTATACAAGTTTGTGATAGCTCACACACCAGAATCTAAGCCTCCAAGGGTACAGGTAAGTTCTAAGACCACAGGGTGTGTGTGCTAAGCCATGTCTGACTCTTTGGGCCCCATGGACTGTAGCCCGCCAGGCTCTGTCCATGGGATTCTCCAGGCAAGAACACTGGAGTGGGTTGCCATTTCCTCCTCCAGGGGATCTTCCCGACCCAGGGATTGAACCTGTGTCTCTTGCNCTCTTTGGGCCCCATGGACTGTAGCCCGCCAGGCTCTGTCCATGGGATTCTCCAGGCAAGAACACTGGAGTGGGTTGCCATTTCCTCCTCCAGGGGATCTTCCCGACCCAGGGATTGAACCTGTGTCTCTTGCATTGACCGGTGGATTCTTTACCACTAGTGCCACCTGGCGACAGAGACCACAGGAATTATGAGTGGTGGAAGATCTTGACAGATTGGCCCTTTAGATGGTAGAAAAGGACAGAAATTAGTTAAAACTCAAACCATCACTAGTCAACAAGCAACAGCTCTTACAAGCAACGAAATAATACTCCAGACACCAGGATGTTTTTCTCAAATTTCGTTGAAAGGAATGTTGCAGTGAAAAGGCAAAAAGAGAAATGAGTTCTCTTTCCCTCTCCTGAGAACAAAGAAGATAAAGAGAACCGTGAGCAGGGCTGAACATTCCTGTTGTTTTTTTTTTTCACTTTAACTGCTCCTGAAGAGGAAAAGTTAAAATTTACAATAACTTCCGGCTCGTTCTGCCTCTGTAATTTAGTTTGCTCCTTGCAAAGTCCAGATCACGTAGGTCACGTAGTCTCGGGGAAACGGGGACTGCTAACAATGTTAGGAGCTGAAACCTCTCTCACTCACCTTTGCCCCGCTTTTGCAATTGCCCAGCCCCTGTAATCCTCCTTAACCTTGCTTGTCTGTGTGAAAGGTCAGGCATTCCGCACCCCCGCCCCGGTCCTAACCGGTGTTCCTGTGCGGGAAACCTCTAGTTCAAACTAGCCTATTAACAGTTAGCATTGCCTACTGTAGCCTGATGTCACGCACTGCCTATAAAAGCTCTGTAACCCAGAGCTTGGCGTGGGGCGTCATAAACCTGAGTTCTCCAGCTCTCCCAGGGTGGGGCTTGCTTTCTCAACGTCCAACTTCTGTAACACTCCTAACTCTGCCCGTGACTAAGCTTGCTTTTCTGCCCCCTAACTCCGCAGGAGCTAAAATCTGCATTTTCTCCTTTGCCCCTATGCTAAATACATCCCCTCTCTGTTTACCCCTACAACACTCTTGCCTCGTAGTTACACATCAGAGAGAAGGCTGCAGGCTTTCCCCGCAGGTGGCTGCAGTCTGGCCACCGAACTGCCAGGCTCAATCCCTGGGTTTCTGGCGCCATTTTATGACTGTCTTTGAAACAATGCAAGAAGAAGAAATCAGGATCCCACCACCTTTGTTCCTCATCACCGACTCCTGACTGCGAGCCCCTGCCTTATATAAGCCCCTAGACTCCTCAAGGGTGTCGGAGGGGGCACAGCTCTTGAGGCATGAGCCTACTGTCGTCCCCTCTCCGCCGGCTGAGAATTAAAACCAACTGTCTTTTTCCTCCGAACTCTGTCTCCATATTTTTCATTTGGCTTCAGTGGGCAGAGAAGGCCAATAATTTTGGCCGGCAACAGGAATTTTGAAATTAGGACCAAAGATTTGTGAGATTGAAACTGAACAGGACCCCGCGGGTACTTCCTGGCGGCAGATCCTTCTATGTCCCATGTTTTTTTTGTTTGTAGGAGAAAGGTTCTAGCCTCACAGGTCTTTCTCCCGAATCCGAAGAGCAGACTCAAGCAGTTACTAATTAGGGAAGTGAGGGAACGCACGAACAAGGCAAAGGCAGTCAAGCCAGAAAGCTAGTGACAGCTGGAACCACAGGTCAGCCATGAAACAGTCACAGCACCCCGGTTCATCCTCCAGGGAAACAGATAACAATCTGACACGTATGTCAAGCTGTCCGCAGAAACCAGGGCCTCACTGGATAG